CAAGGAAATGCATGACGTATACAAGTAAGTCAGCACTCTACCACTTCTACCAACAAGCCAAATACTGATGTTTCTGTTGTTATCATGAAGCAGTCGGCAATTGCCCCGGGGGGGGGACTCCCATATAAAAGCGAACGGGGATGATTATCGTACTTTTTATTTAGGGGTTAAACAGTCGTCGCTTAGTACCGCTTTATAGGGTGTTTAAATCTAAAATGACCTCCGTTAGAGTTATTCCGTAACTTTTACAGTTTTAAGCTGGAAATGTTTTTGAAAGGGACTACTTATCAGAGAAGAAGTATTCGAGGCAGGCGTAATCAAAATCGTAATCGTATTTGTAATATTTTAAATATATTTATTGTAATTATTATATTATTGTATTATATTCTTAATTAATTTAAATTTGTATTGATGCTGAAAAACCCACTTAGGGAGCTTCAATAAAGTATGTATGTATGTATGTATGTCTGTATGTCTGTATGTCTGTATGTCTGTATGTCTGTGTGTCTGTGTGTCTGTGTGTCTGTGTGTCTGTGTGTCTGTGTGTCTGTGTGTCTGTCTGTCTGTCTGTCTGTCTGTATGTAATGTATGTATGTATGTATATGTATCAGTACCTGATGTATGACAGATCCAAACTATTTAATACAAAGTATACATGACTTTTGTATGTCTCTATAGCAAACACCTTCGATAGAATATGTATATTCAACAGGTCGAACTCGAGTCAGCTGGTTACGCTCCATATTGACTCAAAACCAATTTCCGTTCTCTGTCACATGGGAGATTTTGGATGTGGAGATGGGGGATGGACGCCGGTCATGAAGATTGACGGCAACAAGGTATGACATTTAATGATGGATATTTAGCTGGCATGGAATGGAATGGACTCGCTATTCTCGGTTAAACGGTTCTCAAATCTTATGTTCAAATAATTGATCAACGCAAGATTTTATGTTTGAAAATAAATTGTCTGTCGCGTCTCCTTCATCCAATACTTTTTATCCGGGTTGATTCAGAATAATATATTTTGTGATATGACGAAGCGGGAGGAATAAAAAAGTAAGACGGATAAAGTAAAAGCGGCTCCAAATTGTGTTCCATGCTGTACGTACGAGAATTCCACTTGGAAACTTGGAAACTGAAATTAAACGCCTTTTACGAGGTTGCCATGGGAACCATATTTTGACAGGCATGTTTTTCAAACTTTGGAATTTTTGGACGTACTATATCTCCTCTAAGTTTCGTTGTCGTAGCTTTAATAATCTTGGAAAAACGGATGGGGGGAGGGGGGGAATTCCCCCCCCCCCCCCCCATCCCGGTCCACACGCGAACTCTGTCGAAGTTCTGTTTTTCCACTGCCGTCATACAATCATAATTACGACGACAACCAACTGACTTTGAAAAAAAGAAAACAGACAAAATGGGCCCGGATGGACGTCCGCTGAGATGATTGACGGCACCGTTGAAGAGGCAAAGTTCGCATGCTACTGAAAACACACAGTAACGCAGAAAGTAGAGTGAATGTTTATTTCAGGGACAGTGGAATCGAAATAAACTGCAAACCTGAAAAACGAAACAAAAGCACAAAAAAGAGTCGGATAGGTTCATGTGATGGATAATTTAGAAGCAATGTTATGAATATGTTTTCCTATTCTTTCTCAGAGAACCTTTCATTATAACTCGGGGTACTGGAACGATACAAACGAATACAACCTTCCTGGAGGGGACACTGGGTTTGATTCACAAGAGACCAAGTTACCGACCTACTGGAATACAAACTTCTCCAAGATCTGTCTCGGTATGAAGATCGACGAACAGATCAAGTTCATTGTCATCAACAAGACTGCCAACTCTCTGTACTCACTGATTGCTGACGGAAAATACCGCAACACATCACTGGGTCGTGACACGTGGAAGACGCTGATTGGTTCGCAGGCCTCTTTGCAGCTCAACTGTAACAAGGAAGGATTCAATGCTGTGAGTAGTCATAGTTGGGCTTCCAAAGCAAGAATCGGTTTCCTTGGTAACAACGAAAACGATTGCAGCAAATGTGACTCCAGAATCGGATTTGGTACAGGAGGATCTCCTGATGACACCAACACGTGTGGAAACGAGGCTACATCTGCACCAGATAATGGCGCCAAACACATCAAAGCCATGGGATACATCTTGGTGCAGTGAGAAGGAACTGATGAAAAGTATAGAAAACCAATAACGTTAAACTTTCATCAATATACTAACCTTAGCTACTAGGACATCCATTAATCATTTTGTTATTACAATGTTCGCGTCTTTGGTATATCATAGTCGTGCAGTCTTATCAATAGTCATCAATAAGTTAAAAAGTGAAAATATCTGTAATGATAAATTTAAAGGAATGGTTTTGTCAAGTGTCAAAAGTAAACTTATCATTATCTGAGAAAGAGGAAGTTTTAGACGTAACAAGCTTGATAGATAGCCTTTTTTTAACATGACCCTTATTTTATAGTGATCAACAGCAAATTTCTCCACACAATATTGATACAAAGTGGGGCATGTAGGTTGTGAGAACAGCGAAATAGATCGCAAAAGGGGAAATTAAATTATCTTGATATTATGACATTCTGCCATTAAGCAATGCTATACAGAATGTCTGGAGACCATGCAGTAGGAAGAATTTGTAAAATTTCATTATCATATGCAGGACCTTATTTTAAAATGATATGCAGTTGATAGCTTGGAATAATTGTATTGATTTTTGTCATTTATAACGCTTTGGCTACCTGGTGTGTCAGGATATTTATTATTAATGATATTGCTAATGTAAACCTAAAATCCATTTGGACAGCACATGGTCCCATGTACAATATATTTAATCGCTTAAAATAAAAAAAAAGTGAAAAATACAAATAGGGTTCACATGCCACTCCTTCTGTTGAGCCAACGATATTCCGAGGAAAGGGAGGATCTGAATTCTTCACAACTTTAGGCACATGCCGCAGTGCTATCTGTTACATCACTTCCTGACAGGGTCTCAGACCGCCCTAACACATATGAATTACAAACCTCTAAGAACACGCTCGTAGGGCGTACGATGGTTTAAAGTGACACATTTTTCCCTGTGACGAATAACTGTACATGCTTTACGTTTCTTTATGAAAATGAAACAATATAACATAATGAAACGACAAGTTACAAAATACTCAGAGAGACCCAGTCAGAAAACAGCACTCCAAACGCCAGCGAACAGGCAATACACGTGACCCGATGAAACGGAATGCCCGTGCGTGCGGATTACTGTTCCCAACCAAGTTTTCCTCGATATAAGTACAGGTAATCACATGATTTCGAGTGCAACTGGAATAAATAAAAATGGCCCTAGCCCGTTGGGTGGTGCAATTTGTAGGGCAATTTACAAGTGCTTGTTTATTCCAAATTGCACTAGAAAATCATGTGATTACTTGTTAATAACACACTTACTTTTTCACTAATACGTTTACTTAGATAGAGGAGCCTTTGCCCTTCGTAAAATTCCCGAAAGTATTCGCAAACCTTCCGATTTTTTTCTGTTCAATTGTTGTAAATACTTTTAGTGGCCTGTGGGGTAAAATCAAGTTTGTTGTTGTTGTTGTTGTAGAGTTGGACAATGGCGGATGTCTTCGGAAATCTTCGAACATTTTCGGTAAACTTCGGAACTTTTCGGAATAAGTTCGGGAATCTTCGGAACACTTCGGGCAATCTTCGGACTCATCGGGTGATCTTCAGATGTCTTCTGGTAAACTTCGGCCATCTTCGACATACCTCGTATGACCGTCAGCAGCTGTTAGGGGTCTTCGTGGTTCTTCGTACTGACTTCGGAAATCTTCGTTTGTAATTTACACTGATGTTACACTTTTTGCACTCGTGTTATACTTGAACTGCACTGCTCTTAGCCAATCAGAATGGAGTAATTTTGTCAGGTGTATTATTAGTATAGGAAAATACTGTAGACGTGTATTGATCGTGCAAACGATTTATATTCTTTGTTTTCGACTCAGTTTTAATTGACGCCCACGAGCAAGAACCTTCCCAGGATCCATTGCAACTGAAAATGTTTCAATGCCAAGTATCTTTGTCAATTTGAGGCCCAGAAGGATGTTGCACCATGAGATAATAACACATACCATAACATAGCTCTCATATCAAACATAGTGTGATGACGTCATTAGTCACGTGACCACGCCTGAACAATAGTGTCATTGGTACTTCAAACTTGTGTTGTTTGACATATAGAACAATTTCAACATGTCGTTTTAAGGTGTTATCCAGGTTCTTGTTTAATTAAATGGCTCATTTTGGCAAGCAACTATTCAAACTTTGGGAACAACTTTTGCTCAAAATTGAATGCAAAATTTTTAAGAAACGAAGTAAGAGTTTCTTACATGTACCTTGTAATAAGCCGGGGAAGGTTTTCATACGTCAGTCTGGTTTACCGATTGTTTTGACCTTTCGTTGACTTCGCGCCTGGCTTGAGACATACACGTGCTACCACTTGACCATGTGTTCTTCGCATTCATGTGGCACCGAAATTTATCTATATACTGAAGAAAAACCCCGTATAATCTCGTATCGGGACCTACCGTACATGTATATCGCGAGTGCCAGCAATGCGTCGCTAATTACTTCATGTCAGCCAAACTAAAAAAAAACAGATTCTCTGAATTTGCCTGAATTACAAGCTTAATGTTTGGTTAAGTTTGTCAAATTTTTGACCTGACGCCAGGCGATGTAAATACCTCTCTGTCTCCTCAGTTTATTCAAAGAGGCGTATTACGTGGTCGGAACTGGGTGGGACATCTAGCTTTCTGTTGGTACCTCGGCTGAGACCTGAACTCCCAACATGGGTGGGAGGGGAGGGTTTGCCTAAATTGTAGTATTTTAGGCAAAAGTCTGGTCGGAGAGCTGTTAACTAAAACCACCCTCTTTATATCAATAACACACCTGACGAAAAAATGTTTTCCAATGATCTAAGCACCCACGAGTCTCCTGTAGCTCAGTGACAGAGCGTCCGACCGATGTGTGGAAGATCATAAGTTCGATTCATGTTGGGAGAACAATATTTTTTTTAGTAGCTTGTGTCACTGGCTAAATATGACTATATTTGTTATTGTGTTTGTAGCAAGCTTAACATTTGCCATTATCTATTTCTATGGTCGATTTGTTGCCATGAATTATTACCAACTTAATTGAAACAGAGTTTTAGCACTCAGTGTCATGCACCTGTTTATAAAGACATTCATTTTGTATTATTAGGAATTACAAGTCGCAAAACAACGAGTTTGTTTTCAGCAAATTAATTGACAGCATAATTAGCTGAACGTTAATTGGCTAAAACCTACGTAGGTGGAAACGTTTTTAATACAAATATATGCTTTGCAACTCGAAACCCTGACAGATCGTTTCATCGCGGTAAGAATTGAATCGATCATGCCTACAGTTCTCTTCTGTTGCGTTTCTTCTTGCTGACTTATCTGATAACCGAGGCCAACTGTTCTTCAGGTTAGATTGTCTTTAGTTGTTTAATAATCGTCGTTTTTATGTTAGAGACGCTTGCGTCTTAGAATAAAGACGGGCACAAAATGGATTATATACGTCAAGACGAACTCATGAGCTTTAGTTCGTATTGAACGACGAACCTAGCTAAGACGGATAATCCGTCTGTGTACATAAAGACGGGCATCAGACGAATTATGCGTCTGCATGGTCTATATGCGTCCCAGTTCGTATAAAGACGAGCACAAGACAGACAATGCGTCAAGACGAACTATCTGTTTTAGTGTGTCTTTAACAACGAACTAAAGGCTTTGTGCGCGTTATAGTTCGTCCCGTCTTTACACTGAAGACGCATAAAACAGTAGACGAATAATTCCTGAAGACGGATTATACGTCTCTAGAATACAAATGACCAATATACCGTAAAGTTGAAACTTTTAACAAGTTCCCTTTTCGGTTTTGTCATCTGAGATCTGTTCTCTTGAACGAGAGAAACGAGTCTTTATGTCGTGGAATCGAAGCCCGTTAAATTCTAGGAATCTGACGAGTCTCACGGATCATAGATCAGTACCCTTACATAGTCGGCGACTCAAGATAACCCCTTTAAAGAAGCCCGCTATTCTCAGCATTTTGTCAGGTTTCGCCTACGAATGATTTGCCGTTAACTACGAAGAAATTAAAGTATCTTTTCCTTACAACATAAAACACCGGCAGCCATGCTATCGCTCAAACTCTCAATTTTCCTATCCTCCAAGTCCAAATTCTAACCATTAACTATTAGTTTGTGTCCTGCATTATGCGTCCGCCTTCACGCGCGTGGCGAGTACAGGTACGTTTAGCCGAATCAATTTTCCTTTTAAGAAAACCTTGTCGTTATTTATCATAAAAAAGATAAACGAAATTACAAGCCACACATTTAAAATGGGCTGTTTACATGGATCCAGTATTACCTTGCAAAACAGATACCCGCAAAAATGCTAGTAAGGATTTCACTTGCGAGGTAATCTTTCCGGGGTTAAAAGTACGAGAAAGTCAATCTGGCCATAGCAAAGCATGCGAAGGAAAGAAACTTTAAAATTCGACTTTCGACGCTATAAATCAAGTTCTCTTGTAAGCGAAGATGATATATCATTTTCCAAATTTATATTAAAAAATTACAGTCACTTTTTTGACAACATCGTTTTCGACCGCAAAACTAAAAGCACTTGTTGTCATGGGATTCAGCGAAAAAAACATATTATACGAACAATGTTTTTTTTATCCCCGATGGGCAAATAAAACCAAACCAAACCAATGAGATATTTTAGAGTCAAAATTTGGCTTCTTTTTTCTTATTTATTCCATAGAAAGGTATATATATAGGATCGTTTTTGTTTTCACGAAAAACAAAATTAACCTTGACAGCGATGTCTTTCTACGAAGTTTACTTTTTATTAATTAATAAACTTCATAGAAAGACATCCTTTCTGCTAAGGTTAATTTTGTTTTTCGTGAAAACAAAAACGATCCTATGTATATACCTTTCTAGACTTCCCTTGTTTTCACTTAAAACATGGAATAAATAAGAAAAAAGTAGCCAAATTTTAACTCTAAAATATCTCATTTATTTTTTTGGAGATTTAATTTTTGGCCGTTTTCATGTAATATTACATGAAAACTGTCAAATCCCCCCCAAAAATGTGGATCGTTCATCATTAGTCTCCAACACTTGACAAATATAATCCCATTCCCATCATTTTGCTAATATGTACCAAACTGTCAAGATTATTTATTTAGCTGGTGACTAGTGTTGTTTGGCAAACTTTGAAGGACGGAGTAAAATATTTCATGAAGAATGCTTGCTTCAGGGCCGACGCAGGTGATTGTTTCAAATTTTAAAAACAATTATGCGAGACAATGCTTTGCATTATCAAACTAAATAGTCCGAAAATAGGTTTGTCTAACTTGTTGATATAAAGAGGTTATTCAGCGGAAAGTTGTATAGTGGTCTGTATAATACGGCTGGGTATGTTTACGAGTCAGTTTTTTTTTCGAATCTTTAATGATTTTGATCTCAAATTTATTGTTTTTGACAAAAAAATAGTATTAAATACAATATTATAATTAAAGATTCGAGCTACTAACACGAACATGTTCCAACTTAACTATTTCAGTCAGTTTATTGGGTGGTTTATTTAGTTAATCCTGAATATTTTCTGCCAGAGTATCGCCAATTATTGATTTACACCACAAGGAATGATGAATGACTAAACACATGAGCCATAAAAATGAAAAAATAAAAAATTCAATGGTTCATGGAAAAATTTGCTGTAATCAACCCGAACAGTCTTTCAACGAAAAGAGTCCATATAAATAAATGATTGGCTTTTGAATTTTTGTCGATTTCACGAGTTTCAGTACGTTCCAACGAAATGAAAACAGGATGTCAGTAGAACCACCTGTATGACAAGAAATTCATTTTCTGCTATATCTTCGACTTACCAACCGCAAAACAGGCGATCTTTGTTTTAGCAACCAGTTAATCGAAACTAGAAAACCTTTTAGCACATTTCAGCACGGATAACTTGAACCTGAATTATACTTTGCAAGTCAAAACCGTGTCAGTGCATTTAATTCCAACTTATTAAACATTCTTAAAAACCTTCTTTTATTTGATAATCGCGTCCAGTTTTATATTAGAGACGCATGAGTCTTATTATATAAAGACGGGCAAAAAATGGATCGTATACGTCAAGACGAATTATTAGCTTTTAGTTTGTATTGACGGGAACAAGACAGATAATGCGTAAAGGCGAACTATGTGTGGTAGCGTGTCCTTAACGACGAACTAAGCGCTTTGTGCGCGTTATAGTTCGTCCCGTCTTTACACAAGACTCATAAAACAGTCGACGTATAATTCGTCTGGGCGGATTATGCGTCTCTAGAATGAAAACGACCAATATTCCATAAAGTTGAACTTAGTTCCCTTTTCGGTTTGTTCATCTGAGATCTGTTCTCTTGAACCGAGAGAAACGAGTCTTTATCTCGTGAAAGCCTGTCGAATTCTAGGAATATGACGAGTCTCTCGGATATCAGTACCTGAAGAGACTATAAGTATATTGATAATCCCTCTCACCCTCTCCACAGCATTTTGTCATGTTTCGCCTACGAATGATTTGCCGTTAACTACGAGAGTAAAGTATTTTTCCTTACAAAAGAAAACACGGCATGCTATCGCTCAAACTTTCCTGATTTTCCTATCCTCCAAGTCCAACTGAGTCGGCTATTGCCATTAACTATAGACCATGTCCTGGATTCCAACGAATTTTTAACACTACGTTTAATTTAGCCGAATCAATTGTCCTTTGAAAAAAAAAATCATTATTTATCATAAAAAAAGATAAACGAACTTACAAGCCACATAATAATGGGTTGTTTACATTGAGCCAGGGTTACCCCACAAAATACTGGTAAGGATTTCACTTGCGAGGTAATCTTTCAGGACAATACGATTGAGAAAGTCACTGAACCGTAGCGAAGCATGCGAAGGAAAAAAACTTCAAATTCGACTTTAATTTCGACGCTATAAATCGAGTCCCCTTGTTAGCGGAGTCCAAATTCATAAAAAAACAATTTACAGTCACTCTTTTTGAAAACATTTAACTGTGTTCGACCGGAAAACCAAAAACACTTGTTGTCATGGGCTTCAGCGAGAAACATATTATACGAAAACCTCGTTGGAATACAAAGTTTTTATATCCCCGGTGGGCAAATAAAACCAATTCCAAATAAATGAAATATTTCAGAGTTAAAAGGTTTCGTTTTTTATTTATTTATTCCATGTTTTAAGTGAAAACAAAGGAAGTCTTAATAGAAAGGTATAAGGCACGCGAAATTAAAACAAAATTAAAATAGCAGACAGGTCTTTCTTACATGAAAACGGCCAAACCTAAAAAAATTGTGCGTCATCCATCATTAGTCTCCATGCATTCGTCCACCACTTTTTTTTCGTTAATATGTACCAAACTTACAAAGATTATTTATTTAGCTGGTGACTTTGTTTTTTGCCAAACTTTGAAAGACGGAGTAATATATTCCATGAAGAATGCTTGCCTCAGGGCCGACGCAGGTGATTGTTTCAAATAGTAAGTAAGTAAGTAAACAAATTAAAAATAAAAACTTATACGAGACAACGCTTTTCATTATCAAACTAAATATTCCGAAAATAGCATTGTATAACTTGTTGAAATAAAGAGGATATTCAGCTGAAAGTTGTGTAATACGGCTGGGTATGTTTACGAGTCAGTTTGTTTTTTTCGCCGAATCTTTAATGATTTTGATCTCAAATTTGACAAAAAAAAATAGTATTAAATACAAGATTACAATAAAAGATTCGAACTACTAACAGGAACATTTTCCACATTAACTATTTCAGTCAGTTTATTGGGTGGTAATCCTGAATATTTTCTGGGAGAGTATCGCCATTTATTGATTTACACCATAAGGAATGATGAATGAATAAACACAATGAACCATAAAAAAATAAAATATATAAAAATGTCATGGTTCATGGAAACATTTG